GAGCGTCAAAAGTGTAGTTTGGTAACGAACAAAGAGGAAAAGGTTGTGCTCAGAAAGATGATGCTGAAAACAGCAGAACCTAGCAAAAAATAAGCAAAAACGTTGTTTTGAGTAAAATCAAGTAAAAATCAGCGTGACTCGCTGCAGCCTTGCAAAACATCTTTTCCCGTTGCAATAACGCTGGAAACAGGGCAATTTTACAGAAAACAAGCGAATACATGTTTATGGTGCAATAAAGCTGAAAGCAGCGTATTTTAGCATTCAAAAAGGGAAAACGCTGCTTCCCCGTAAGATAAAACTGAAAGCAGTTTAATTTAGTTGCCAACGGACCAAAACGTCTTTGGTGCGATAAACCGTGAAAAACCGTACTCTAGTTACAAAAGAGTCCAAGGCATTGCTCGCAGGAAGATACTGCTGAAGACAGTGGTAACTTAGCCGAAAACAAACGAAAACGTTGGTTTAGTAAAATCAAGTTCTAATTGGGGTGACTAGCTGCAAACAGGCAGAAACGTTTCTTTGATGCAGTTACGCTGGAAACATGTTTTTGGTCCGATAAAGCTGAAAGCAACGTATTTTAGAAACCACAAAAACGCTTTTCTGTGAGATTTAATTCACAATCGCCCGGTTTAATTCCAAACAAATGAAAATATGTTTTCCATTCGATAAATGCTCAAAACAGCATAAGTCGGAAATTCCACTCGCATGCTGCAAGGCTACACCAGTAATTGCTTAGGGTTATGGTTAGGGTTAGGGTTAGGGTTTGGGTCAGGGTTAGGGTTTGGTTAGGTTTGGGCTAACCCTACGTGTTTGTAGAATCTTTTTATATGCAGATATAGAGCTACAACCGGGGATTGAACAAGAGATAAGAACTAGGTGAGATGGCGGTTACAAACAGAATTCCCGAAGCCTTAGAATCCTGGAGGGGTGAAAAGAAGTACAGGGGACATCTAAGATAAGTATCGCTCGTTTTCTACTAGTGCCAGAGGCAGGACAGACTCTTGTTCGAGTGGCCAGCTTCTCCGACAAAGTTTTCACGTTACGATCACCTCTCCCTGTTGCTGAATACCATACCGTCAGCGGTGTAAGTGGCAGTGCTACTCCTACAGAAATTGAGGGTAGTCCATCAGCAACTAACCATCCATACTGCTCAGTTATAGACAGAAATATTAAGGATGACAAGCAGGAAAGTACAGAAAGAAAGAATAGAAGGGCAAAAGTTATCCAGCCAGGTTCAGATGGGCTTTCAGAGGAGCAGAAAAGGCAATTTTCCCTACTGATAGACCAATATGAGGGCATATTTCCAATTAACAATTCTGATTTAGGATAATTAGATCTTATGGAACACGACATTAACACTGGTGAGCATGCTCCCATTGAGCAGCTTCCTCGTCGCATACTACCGCACCAGAGGGAGATCATAGATCAACAGCTGGCGAACCGCTAGCGAATGGTAGAGTTGAAGAATCACAGAGCCCCCGGAGCAGTCAGGTTGTTTTGGTAAGGAGACATAGTGGAAGTTACCGTATGTGCATTGATTACCGCAAACTGAATTTGTGTACATAGGAAGATGCAATACCGTTAGAGAGGACCGATGATGTCTTGGAAGCGCTGGGTGGTGGTCAGTGGTTTTCCTGTCTGGATTTGGCGTCTGGGTATCGGCAGATGCAAGTAAAGAAGAGAACAGACCCGAAACAGCATTCTCAACCCATCGTGGACAATTCCAATGGAGGGTTATGCCTTTTGGACTTTCGAGTGGGCCAGCTAGTTTTACCAGATTGATGAATCTAGCACTCAGTAAACTGACTTCGACACACTGTCTTGCGTATTTGGATGATACTTTATCTGGGCTCCTTCAGTTCCCTCGAGGAACATCTGCATCGCCTACGGTTATTATTTGACAGAATACGAACTGCTGCTCTTAAGCTGAAGGCAACTTAGTGTCGGTTTCTAAAGAGAGAAGTTCGTTCCTAGGGCATGTTGTCTCTTTAGAAGGCATCAAAACTGACCCTGACAAGGTCAAGACTGTCAGAACTTAGCCAACCCCACTAGACATCAAAGAGCTCCAAAGCATCATTGGTCTTGCAATTACAATAGGCGGTTTATTTCTGGATTCTCGATCGTCCCAGAACCACTCTACGAATTGTCGAGGAAGGTTGTTTCTTTCCAGTGGCAGATGGAACAAGAAAGTGCCTACAATGAACTGAAACATCGCTTGACCATTGCACCCGTCTTGCCATATCCCGATTTTTGTCCTGATACAGGATTATTCGTACTTGACACAGATCCCAGGCAACCCCTGGGCATTGGTGCTGTTTTATCTCGATTGCAACTCAATGACACTCAGCGTGTGATAGCTTACCGGAATCGTTCTTTGAATGAGCAGGAAAAGAACTATTCCGGGACTCAATTAGAGATGCTCGCTCTGGTAAACTATATGGGCCATCTACGCTATTATTTGGTGGGACAAAAATTGCGCCTGAGGACTGATAATCACTCATTAGTGTAGCTAATGACTTTTACAGAGCCTCAAGGGCAAGTGGCCCGTTGGCTAGGGCGCTTACAGTATGATTCTGAGATACAATGTCACCCGGGAAGGTTCCACAACAATTCAGACGCTTTGTCTAGAGGGCCCAGACGACAACATGGCAATTGTCCATCATGTACTCCAACAGGATTCTCCCAAGTTACGGCTGTTACTAGACACCTTCCGGTAGGTGAAACCCCAAGTGAAGTGAGAAATATTTGGTCGGCAGAAGTGGTTGCACAGGCCCTGAGAGATAATCCAGATATCAGCTTGGTACTTTGTCGTTTGTTGAAAGAGTGGAGGAAACCAGCTGTTGAGAAAATTCATGTCAATGCACTCTGCTGCTCGTGCTGTCTGGGCCCACTTTGAACTGTTGTTGCTACAACAGGGGTTCTCTATATAAAAGTCAGCTGCCCACACTACTCAAGCTAAACTGAGGATGGTTGTACCGAAACAGTGAGTGGAGAAGGCCCTTGTCGAAGTTCATGATGGCGTTGTTGGCGCCCACCTTGGAGGAATGAAGAGTCTAATGAAGATATAAGCTAGATTCCGGAGGCCTGGCACAACCAAAGAGGTGCATTATTACTGCGATCGATGTCTGACATGTGCCAATTGTAAGCCAAGGGCAAAACCCAGAGCACCACTGTGGTCATTTACCTCTGGCAACCCCATGCAAGGCATCCATATTGACATTGTTGCTCCCTTGCCACGGTCTCGGAGAGGAAACCGCCACATTTTAACACCTCAGTGCAGTTTTACTAAAAGGGCTGAGGTGTTTGCAATGTCCGACCAGCGTGCCACAACCTCTGCAAAGGTGCTTGTAAGGAACTGGATCTGTAGATTTGGTGTGCCTGACAGCATTCATAGCAATCAAGGCCGTAATTTCGAGTCTAAAACATTCTCGGGAATCTGCCAGCTGCTGAGTATTTACAAAACGCGCACCAGCGCGTATCACCCTGAGGGCAACGGCCAAGTAGAAAAGCTGCACAAAACCTTAAGGAGCATGTTAAAAGCTAAAGTTGAAGATAATCCAGCTACATGGGATGAGCACCTTGATTTCTGCGTGATGGCCTATCGCTGTAGTGTTCACTCCTCCACGGGGCACAACCCGTTCGAGGTCATGTTCGTTAGAGAGATGAGGATACCTTTGGATGTAATGGTTGGCGGTGCCGAAGACAATGAGTGTTCCTACACTGATTTTGTTGCTGTAGAACTGCACAAGTTGCACAATACTTAACTGCTTGAGGTAGCTCAAATGGTCAAACGAGCTACACGTTTTCAACTACACAATGAAGCTGAATTGGTTCCAACAGCTCAAATTGTCTAACTGGCTTAATGTATTCGACTGGACAAAAACATCAAATCAGCGAAGACCGTTAATCTGACAGCAAAAAATGCAAAATCTTTCTCGGCTCGTTGAAGGAGTTCAACTTCTCAAATTTGCTCAAGTGGTCTAACTGCACAGGATGCGTAAAGCTTTATAGGTTCAATCTAGAAATCTTCACAATGTAGCTAAATTTGTCGAAGTGGCTGAAATGGTCCAAGTAGCTGAATTGGTTCCACTGGTTTGGTGGTCAAACTAGTGAACAAAGTTGCAGAATCTATCGTAATTCGTTGAGGTCGTTCAAATTGTGAAAGTAGCTCATAATTCTTGAAACTGCACAGAAACTGCACAATTTAGCTGAATTGTTTCAAGTAGTTAAAATTGTCAAAGTAGCCTCATCGATTCAACTGATTGAAAGGTCAAACAAGCAAAGTGTCAAACTGCACAAACCGCTCATTCTATATGAATTGGTTGAAGAAGTTCAAATGGTCAAACTGACTAGTACGGGCTAATCACACATAATCATGGAAAAGTCAAACTAGTGTGGACAATCACTCCAAAAATAGCGTAATCTATGTTAACTGGTTCACATGGTTGAAATGGTCAAACTAGTTTAACTTGCTCAACTGCACAAACCGCAGGATTTAACTGAATTTTTTTCATGAAAAATCAGCTTAATTGCTTCGACTGTTGAAATAGTCAAAGTAGCGGAAATAGTTAAACTGCACAAATTGCACTCTCTATCTCGACTAGCTGAAGTAGGTGAAATGCTCGAACTAGCTTAAATGCTTCAACTGCACAATATGCACACATAGCTTAACAGTTTGAACTGCAGAAACAGTACAATATATCATACATGGATGGAATGGTTAAATAGTCCAACTAGGGAAGTCTGGAAAAAAAAAGCAAAAGAGTTAGAACTGTAAAAAGTTAGAAATGCAAGGAAGGCTGAATAGAGAAAGAAAAAAGGATGGAAAAAAGACAAGAAAGGATGGAAGAAAAGGACAGACAAGAAAGGATGGAAGAAAAGGACAGACAGGAAAGGTGAAATTTGATATCACCGAGTATCTTAAGTTGGTATTTCCATTTCAGGAAGCAGATACTGATAAGTGTTTCTTGCACTTTGAGAAAGTAGCCGGCAATCTTAAGTAGCCCACGGATTACTGGGTAATTCAACTACAGAGTGTACTAGTCGGTAAAGCAAGAAAAATTTAAACACAGTTAAGTGTAGAGCAAGCTGCAAATTATAACAGTGCTAAGGATATTATTTTAAAGGGTTCTGAAATAGTTCCCGAGGCCCAGAGACCGTGAGAAAGTCAATAGTCAGACTGATGTAGAATTTGCTAGAAGTAAGGAACAGTTATTTGATCGTTGGTGTCATTCGCAGAGTGTAGATGAGAGTCAGGATAGGTTAATGACAGCCAGTTTTAATAGAGGAGTCTAAGAGGTGCATTTGCAGTGATGTCCGAACGTTCGTCAATGAGCAAAAAGCACCAACATTAGAGGAAGATGCACGACTAGCAGATGAGCTTTGGTTGAGGCACAAAGTGAACTTCATGGAAAAACCCCATCAGCTTCAAACTTCACCCGCTAGAGTTCTGCCTCCTTCGGTACTACGATGGTTTGCAAAACCAGAGAAGTCGGCAGAATGACGGAGGAAATCCAAAGCAGAATCCTGCTAACAATTATGGGAATCGTTTCAGCTCCTCATGGTCAAGACAGAACAAGTTTGATCGAGGTAAGCCCATCAAGCCGCCGACATGTTACTTTTCCAGAAAAGCTGGTCAGCTGATTTCTAGCAGCCCAGAAAAGTGGAGAGTGGCGCCTAAGCATGATGGTTTTCTCGTTAAGACATTTTATTTAACTGCTGTTGGTGAAGATACATCCCCCTCCCCAAGTTCTAAGAGAGAAGACTCAGGCAAGTGCTTTGAGTGAAGTCAGTGGCCCTTGCAAATCTGTCATTGTTTTCTTTCAGCCCTTCATCCACGATGGTTCGGTGTCATTGTCAACTAATACGTCCAACTCCATACCAATCAAGATTTTGACAGGCACTGGAACCTCACAGTCTCTATTGCTGAGTGACCCTTTGGTGTTTCTGAGAAGTCGTCCACTTGTGCGAGTGTTCTAATAAGTAACCTTCAGGCAGGTGAAAGACACCACATACAAGAAAATAGATATGGACAATCTGTGACCCCAGGCATTAAAAAGCAGGCTATTAATACTGTTATGGAAGCAGTGATAACAGTGATAAGAATGTGTTGACAAGAAATATGTTGACAGAAAAAACTTTACTTTAGACGCATCAAAAGGTCTTGATATGAAGGCAATAAAGAGATTAAATTAGCAGACCCAACAAGTGCAACAAATGGGAACAATAAAAGGTATGTTGATACAATAAAAAAGTGATGGTACAGGAGTAATGACTGATAATTTGAATATCAAGAGTAGAAGTTGGATTGTGCAAACTGATTAAGCTAGTTGTGTATTTTTTTTTTTTTCAGTAGAACCAGTAAGGGCAGTTTCATCATTTGATGTATTTCAAGCAACGGAGATAGATTGGTCAATTTGTGTATTTATGTATCTTGGCTGGTTCAACTATTTTACTAGTAAGTAATACAATCAGAAACCGCTAAACTCCATAAACGTCACCATCTATCTCAGCTAGTTGAACTAGTTGAAATGGTCAGATTAGCTTCAATTGTTGCAGAGGACAAAATGCATAACCAGCTTGATAGATTGAACTGCACAAACTTCTCAATTTAGCTGAACTAGTTAAAGTGGTTAAATAATTAAACTAACGAAAACAGTAAGAGTGCGCAAAATAGTTCAAATGCTCAAAGTAGATTAATTGGTTCAACCACAAAAAGTGCACAGCTAACGATAGGATCAACTGCACCAAATGCACAATCAAGCCTTATTGGTTATACTCGTTAAATAGTCCAACTAGCTGAGATAGTTAAACTGCACAAATTGTACAGTCGATCTTAGTCAAAGTTGTTCGAATGGCTATACTAGGTTCAGTGGTTCAACCGGAGAAAATGCAACACCGGCTTAAATAGTTGAACTAGTTTACAATTCAAACAAGGGAAGAAGTTAAAGTGCTTGGTTCTTAAAGTGCACAAACGGCAAAATGTAGCCAAAGTTGTTTAAGAAGTTGAAATGATCAAAGTAGCTTAATTAGTTAAACAAGTAAATAGTCCAACCAGTGAAGACAGCTATACGCACAAATCGGCGTTACTGCAGAAACTTCACAATCTAGCTGAAATTATTTACTGGTTAAATAGGCAAACTAGGAAAAGCAGTCAAACTGAACAACTTGGTCAACAAGACAAATTTCAGAATTAACTGATTTGATTAAACCGGACAAAGCCAATAGGTAACCTAAATGCTTTATTGGCTAAATGTCAATCGAGCGATTACAGTTTCACCATTTTAAACTACTTCAACCAATAAAGATGCATTGTGCTATTTGCGAAGTTGAAATTTTTTTCGCTAGTACTACTACTTAATCATAGGAACCAATCCATCTAGTTTGTTTATCTTAAGTAGTTAAACCAATTAAACTTGAGCAAAACTGCACAAATTGCAAAATCTACCTTAATTGGTGGAAGTGGTTCACATAGTCAAACTAGATTAAATGGCTCAACTAAAAATATATAAGTATGATATATAGTTTGTCCGGTTCAACTCATTTCAACTGAACAAAGTGCATAACCAGCATAATCCATTCAACTGTAAAATTTGAACAATTTAGTCCAAACACGGTCTAACAGTCAAGCTAAGGTCAACTGAGAACAATTGTACAATCTATCTACATTGGTTGAAACTCTTTAAATGGCCAAGTTAACTTCAAGAAATAAGCCGAATAAAGACTGTGAAATTTTTGCAGTTTTACTGTTTTTGCCAGCTTGATTATTTAACCAGGTCACCCAACTAAGCTTGATTGCAATGTTTGTTTAGTTGAACCCATTAAGTTGCCTACGCATTTTGTCCTTTTCAACAATTTTAGGTATTTTAACCATTTGAACAATTTGAACCAGAAAGAGATTTTGCAATTTGCAAGTTTACCGTTTTGAATAGTTTGACTAATTGCTTAAATAGTAAAAAAACCAGCGAAGATAGTTAAATACACAAGTAGTTTAAATGGTCAAACCAGTTTAAAAAGCTCAACCGGACAAAATGCATAAATAGGTTAAATAGTTCAAACGGTGAAAAAGTCAAACTATCGAAAACAGTATAGCTGCACAATTTACACAACAGGCTAGACTCCTTCAAATAGTCAATCACGCTTAAACTCTTTAAGTAGGCAAAGTGCATAGTTATCCATTTTCTCCCATTGAACAATATAAGCTAGTTTGAGCATTTGAACTAGTTCAACCAGTTTAGATAGATTGTATAGTTTCTGCAGGTTAGCTCTTTTTGATAGTTTTACGATCTGATGAAATGGTCAAACAAGGAAAGTTAGCTAAGCACACAAACTTAACTACTCTATTTCCCCTGATTGTAGTAGTTCAAATGATCAAACTAGCCTAAAAGGTTCAATCGGATAAAATGCATAACTGGGTTAAATAGTTCAAACTGTAAAATAGTCAGACTATCAAAAAACAGTATAACTGCACAGTCTACAGAATCTATGTCAACAGGTTAGACTAGTCCAAATGGTTGATCAAGCTAAAATTATTCGAGTGGACAAAATTCAGAACTAGCGGAAATGGTTAAACTAGACAAAACGCATAAGTTGCTTAAATGACTCAACCGGCTAAATTTCAATGGAACTGCACAAGTTGCACAATCTATATTGTTGGTGGTAGTAGTTCACATGGTCAAACTATCTTAAATGCTTTAACTGGAGAAAGTGGAAAACTAGCTTGATAGCATCAACTGCACAAATTGCACAATTTATCCTCAACGGTTCAACTGTCAAGTAGCTGAGATAGTCAAACTTAACTTAGAGTTACGGTTTTATTGGACAAAAGCATAACCAGCTTAAATAGCTTAAGTGGCTAAATAGTCAAACTAGCAAGGAGACAGTTAAACTGAAAAACTGCAAACGGTGGGAATGGTCAAACGACACAAAATGCAGGAAGTAGCTGAGTTGCTTCAATCGGCTCACATGGACAAAACTCACCAACAAGCTAAATTGGTTTAAATGGTCTGAGTGATCAAACAGGCAAAAACAGTGAAACGAAAAAACTGAACAAACCAGCTGAATTGACTTGTTTGCTACTGAATTACGCTCCTTTTAGCTGTATTGTATGAAACACGTTTTTGCCTGTTTGCAGCTAACCACGCTGATTTTTGCTTTATTTCACTTAATTTATCATTTTAATGAGTTATGTGGCCAAATTACGCTTTTCTCAGCTTTTTCGCACCGAAAACTTTGTATTTGTTTCTTGAGCTTTTGTGGGCTTTATCTCACGAAAAGCAACGTTTTCCCTTTTTTGTTGCTAAGCTATAATGTTTTTTTCTTGATCATAACTATTACTAATTCTTCAATTCTTATTAGTGCCTTCGCAGCTTAATTTTTTACTAATCATTCTGCGCAATTGTAATCGAACAGTGTAATCGAACAGTTAGCCGTAATCGGACACCTGTAATCGGACAGTTGAAGCAGCTAATCATACTAGGTCCACTCAGCTAAATCCACCAATCACAGAATTAATCACAATAACAAAAGAAAAACTAGGCAGTTTCCAAAATGGAGGAATTTTTAACTAAAGACATTGTTCCACCGAAGACATTTGTTCTAAGTGTATTTGTTTTTAGGAAACTGAAATGGTTGTTATTAAATGGTAACAGGATTTCTTGTTTTCCAGTTCTGTCTGTTATTACTCGTGATAAAACAAATCGGACTCCCACTTCTCGGTCTTCCGATTTTGTTAATCACTCGTATGATTACAGACTGAATTGGATTCCAGTCAGTCCTATTACCATTATTTATGACACCAAAAAGATGTTTTCGTTTGTTTGTCGCAAAACTTACGCTGTTTTCAGTTTTATCTCACTGAAGACTAAGTTTTAAAGTTTCTATGTAGCTAAATTACGTCTCATTCAGATTTATCTAACCAAAACGTTTTTCCCTTGTTTGGCGCTGAACTGAGCTGCTTTGGCTTTATCAAAGCCAAAAAAAAAGGTTGCGATGAAGCCTGTTTTAACCAGTCACCCCAATATTCAGCCCAACCACGGTATTTCCATGTTCACTGCTAAATCAAGCTGTTTTAGCTTTCTAGAACCGGAAGCGTGGTTTTTTGCTAGTTTGCCCTTAAGTTGCATTGTCTTTAGCTTAAGTGCACCGAAAAGGGTTTTGCACCTTGCTAGCCAATCATACTGTATTTAGCTTTATCTTAATGTAAACAACGGTTTTCTTTTTTTGTGGCTAAACTACGCTGTCTTCAACTTTTTACATAGGTAAAAGCCTATCTTCCCGTTTGAAATAATCACGCTGATTCTAGCTTTATTTCATTAAAACGTTGTTTATGCTGTTATTGCACCGAAACCGTTTTTCCCATGGTTTTGCTCTGAATCAAGCAGTTTTTAGCTTTATCTCACCAAGTGTTTGGAGCTTCATCTCATGGAAGACAACGTCTTTACTTTTTTGTAGCCAAAGTATCATGATTCTAGCTATATCTCCTCAAAACAACGTTTTTCCTTT